AGGCGGAGGTTGCGGTGAGCCGAGATCGCGCCATTGCACTCCAGCCTGGGTAACAAGAGCGAAACTCAAAAAAAAAAAATATTTTGAATGTCCACACCTATCTAATGTCTTAAGGAAGGGACCCTGGAGATGTCAGGATTCTTATTTTAGTTGCAAATAGCAAATATTTCCCTCAAATTGTCTACCTGAAAATGGTAATTTATAGGTGTTGTTAATTTGGCTTCAGGTACAGTTTGATTCAGAAGTTCCCAACTTCCACAGGATTCAGCCTCCTGTGGATGTTGGGGACTACATTTCCCTGTAGTTTTTTCTTCTCTGTCCCCCTCTAAGTGCAGTCTCTGACCTCAGGACAACTCCCCTCACCATCTGAGGTTATATAGTCCATAATCTGGATGAATACATAGTGACTGATGAATCGACAGGTGGAGGTATGAAGGCAGAAGGAAATAAATGAGTAAAAAAATACCCTGATGCATGGTAGGCATTCAGTCAGCATTAATGGATGAACACATGAAAGACTGAATGAGGAAAGGTATGAGATTGTATCTAGTTGGTGCCCACCCAGAGTGTCAGGGTGGAAGAATAAACCAGGGGTTGGCATGGACTAGGCATGGTTGGTAGCACAAAATCCTAATGAAACTTGACAATAACAAGAGCTGGCAACACTCACGTGTGTAAGATCTACTGGCTAAGGATGTTTCCACCACTAAGATTCTATCGAGTCACCTCATGGTCCAGATAAACACATCATAATCCTGTATCAGCTAAGTCAACATGTGTTTTAAATACCACCGTCTGCATTTCTGGCCTAGATAGAGTGACTGGGACTGGGTTTCCCCTCATACTTGAAACAATATATATATTTTTAAACAGGATCTCACTCTATGGCCCAGGCTGGAGTGCAGTGGTGCAATCTTGACTTACTACGACCTCTGCCTCTCAGGCTCAAGCAATTGTCCTGCCTCAGCCTCCTGAGTAGCTAGGATCATAGGTGTGCACCACCACACCCGGCTAATTTTTTTTTTCTAAGATGGAGTCTTGCTCTGTTGCCCAGGCTGGAGTGCAGTGGCACGATCTCAGCTCTTGCCTCCTGGGTTCAAGCGATTCTCCTGCCTCAGCCTCAGGAGTAGCAGGGATTACAGGCACCCACTACCACGCTAATCTTTTTGTATTTGTAGTAGAGACAGGGTTTTGCCATCTTGGCCAGGCTAGAATTGAACCCTTATCCTCAAGTGATCTACCCAATTGGCCTCCCAAAGTGCTGGTATTACAGGCGTGAGAAACCGTGCCCAGCTAACAAATATTTATTGACTGTCTATTAATATCTGCCAAGCACCGAGATACTGGGAATTCAGTAGTGAAGGAAACTGTCCTGCCTTCATGGAGATGACACTCTAAATGGTGGAGAGAGTCAGGTTTGAGAAAAATGTGCTGGCCAGACACGGTGGCTCACACCTGTAATGCCAACACTTTGCAAGTTCAAGGCAGGAGGATTGCTTGAGCCTAGGCGTTCGAGACAAGCCTGAGAAGTATAGTGAAACCCTGTCTCTACAAAAAATTTTAAATAATTTTTTTTGAGACAGAGTCTCACTTTGTCACCCAGGCTGAAATGCAGTGGTGCCATCTCAACTCACTGCAACCTCCGCCTCCTGGGTTTAAGCAATTCTCCTTCCTCAGCCTCCTGAGTAGCTAGGATTACAGGTATGCATCATCAAGCCCAGCTAATTTTTGTATTTTTAGTAGAGACGAGGTTTCACTGTGATGGTCAGGCTGGTCTAGAACTCCTGACCCCATGATCTGCCTGCCTCAGCCTCTCAAAGTGCTGGGATTACAGGCGTGAGCCACTGCACCCAGCCAAAATATTTTTAAAGGGAGAGAAAAAGGCTGGAAGAGGGACTCCCTCTAAAAAAAAAAAAAAGAGAGAGGAAGGGATGTTGAATGTGCAAGTGTAATATCAATCAATGGAGGAAGCAGAAGTTGGTTTAAGAAGTTGTGAATCCTGGCTAGGCAAAGTGGCTCATGCCTGTAATCCCAACACTTTGGGAGGCCGAGGCAGGTGGATCACCTGAGTTCAGGAGTCCTAGACCAGCCTGACCGTCACGGTGAAACCTCGTCTCTACTAAAAATACAAAAACTACCTAGGCGTTGTGGCACATGCCTGTAATCCCAGCTATTTGGGAGGCTGAGGCAGGAGAAACGCTTGAACCGGGACCCGGGATGCCGTGAGCCGAGATCACGCCATTGCACTCCAGCCTGGGCAACAAGAGCTAAACTCCATCTTAAATCCTCCACTTATTTATGACTTCCTTTTTCTTTTTCTTTTTTTCTTGAGTTGGAGTCTTGCTCTGTTGCCAGGCTGGAGTGCAGTGGCGCGATCTTGGCTCACTGCAACCTCCACCTCCTGGGTTCAAGCGATTCTCCTATCTCAGCCTCCCGAGTAGCTGGGACTACAGGTGTGCGCCACCACGCCCAGCTAATTTTTGTAATTTTAGTAGAGACGGGGTTTCACCATGTTTGCCAGTATTCTTGACCGTGTGATCTGCCCGCCCCGACCTCCCAAAGTGCTGGGATTACAGGCATGAGCCACCGCGCCCGGCACATATATTTAAAGCCATAGAACTGGATGAGTTCGTTCATATTTGCATAAGCTTGGGAAAAAAAACGTGGAAGGATGCTTTGAGAAAGAGACGGCTGTTAGTCCTTTGGAAGTTACCCAGCCTCTCAAAGCCTGTCTATAAAATGAGAATAACACCCCTTGCCAAATGGCACGACATTGCCACCTCTTGGCTTGGAAAAGCTGCCCTAAAGGCAAAACCTCCAGGACAGCTATGTAGCGTCCCCAACACCGAGTGAAGCCAGGGCAGCCATATTTATTACTGGAACCGTGAGGTTGGGGGGCGGAGTGGATGGCGTTGAGACAGCTCTCATTTTCACTTAGGGCAAATCCCTACTTCCGGTCACCATCTTGAGTGACGACAGGGGTGGGGCTCCAACTGACATGTTCATTAAGGGCAGGGCTCCGAGGGCGCCACCTCGAGAGCGACAGCGGGCTACCCGGGGCGGGCGGAGGCAGGCTGTAGCCCCGCCCCGGGCTTTGGGCTCCACCTCTCGGCCCCACTTCCGCCGGGCGAGCGTTTGTAGGCGGCGCTGCCGTAAATTAGGCGGTGGGTTTGCCGCATCACGCAAGATGGCGGCCGCGGCGGTGAATGGGGCGGCCGGCTTCCCGAGCTCCGGGGCTGCGGCGCCTTCGGGCGCTGTCCTGCAGGCCGCGGCCGGCATGTACGAGCAACTCAAGGGCGAGTGGAACCGTAAAAGCCCCAATCTTAGCAAGTGCGGGGAAGAGCTGGGCCGGCTCAAGGTAAGGTCGGCAGGCCCAGGAAACCGAGTGTTGCAGGCGTGGGGGGCGCTATGAGGTGTCTGGACCCAAGCAAGTCCCGGGCCACAGAAGACACCTCGGTGCCCGCGAGACTGAGACGGGCTAGGGGCTCCGATGGGGCGAAAGATTTGGAACAGCCAAGGTGCGGGCCCGGAGGGGGTCAAGAAGCGAGAGAGGGACCGGGCGCGGTGGCTCACACCTGTAATCGCAGCCCTTTGGGAGGCCGAGGCCAGGAGTTCCAATCAGCCTGA